TGTAGGGAAGTGAAGGAAATGGAGCAAAAGCAGAAGGTCCCTCCATTTCTCTGCTACTTTGCTCTTGATGATCAATGAAACTAGGGAAAGGAAGGAGGGAAGGGACCACAAGTAAAGAAGATACTTAAAAATAGAATGTAGAGGAAAAGACTGAGTTCTTGTTTGCTCACTGACCAATTTGGGTACTCAGGACTTCGAAATTCCATGAGCTACTGTTGTCTCCTCTGTTACAATGGAATAATAATACTGCCTAACCATGGTAGTGTTCTTGGTATTGAATGATCAACAATAGATGCTCACTAAATCTCTCCTGAGACTAAATTAACAGTGAAACTACAGCAGGGATGGATCAGAAGGAATGAACAGTTCTCTGAGGAATGCATGTGTGAAGAACACACATGTGGCCAACATATGTGATTGCCTAGTCAAAGCACTCAAAACAGCGTGAAAGCCCTGTCAGTTTGAAATGCAGGTGAGATCAGTCAAAGCTGAAAGAAACACCATTTATGAATTATTTGGCCCTCTCTGTGGGTGTTTCTCCTTCCAGGCAGTGTTATATCGTAGAGTCCTTGTTTGAAAATGGACACCATATAGTAGGCATTTGTGAGCCACGGTTTAGAAAATCTTGCATTTCTATATGAAAAAGGGAAATTAATATGATAGCAGGACAATCTTTAACTTGATTCTGTTAAGGCATTGTTATAAATAGTACCTGAGGGGCCGGTATGTGGCGTGTGGTTAAAGGCACTGGATTCCCACATGGCTGACTGCAGTTCGAGTCCCATACCTAGTGACTTGCTTGCTCACTTTCTCTTTTTCTCTCTCTCTGTCTCTGTCTGGTCAAATTAAAATAATAATAACAAATGGAATTAAATTAAAAATAATTCTTTATAAAACAATAAAATAAAATAGAACCCAAATTTTGATAATTAAATGTTGAGTGTATTTTAATTTCTCCGATTGCTTGTTTAAGATTAAAGCAAATACCAGGACCAGCAGATGGTATAAATGATAACATCGCTGGACTCCCACGTGGTCAATCATGGTTAAAGTCCCAAACCTGGTGGCTTAAAACTCACACCAGGAGCATGTGTGTGCATGTCAAAAATTCCCTAGAGAAGAATGGAGGAGAAGGGATTGTGGTGTGGTCTTTCCCACCAGGGGGTAATTTCTTGCTTTCTGTCTTTCTGTCTGTCTCTGTCTTTCCAGCAAGTGCACATGTCCTATCGCAAAAATCTCTATTAAAAATTAAGAAGGATTGGGACCAGCAGTTAGCATAATGGCTATGTCGCTGGACTCCCACGTAGTCGACCGCGGTTCACGTCCCAGACCCGGTGGCTTAAACTCACGCCGGCCACATGCACACGCATGCCCAAGATCCTGAGAGGAGAATGGAGGAGAAGGGATTGCGGCGTGGCCATCCCCCCTGGGGGGGGTGATTTCTTGCTTTCTGTCTCTCTGTCTCTCTCTCTCTGTCTGGCGAGTGCATGTGCCCTATAGCAAAAACCTCCCTCTAAAAAAAAAAAATTAAGAAGGATTAAAGCAAATAGTTTAAATAGCCATATCTTCATAATGTCTCATTGAAAATTTAAATCTTTAAAATAAGTTATTGATATTAAAAGATATGATTGAAAATCACTATACAGCATCAAAATATGATTAATAGAAACAAATTCAGACATGTATGAATTTACATAAGCCATTATGTATAATGGCTTCTTCCAAAAGCATGACATAGCAGGAAAAAGTACTTTGAAATCTGTCTTTATACTATTGCAATCCATACCTTTCTGAAGACATTTATTATATGCCTACTCTCAGGCTTTCCTCTTCTGGTTTATCCTCCCATTTAATCCTTAAGAAATCACTTTTGTTTATATTTCATTTGTGTTTGGTGTGAGGAATTTGCTTTTATATTTTGGCTAGTGTAGAATGGCAGAATGTAGTAACCTGTGATGCTTAAAGTATTTCTAGTCAAAATCCTCTTGAGTTCCCCCACATTCTCACAATTTGCACTCATCTCTGAAATTAATAGGAACTAGCACCATATTTTTGTCATGAAATTCACTCTTTCTTGTTATGGGTTACTCAGAAGTTATTGCTTTTGTCAGATAAGCACAAGAGCAGTCACAGGCCTGGATCTTTATATTAGGACTATGTTTGTTTATTTCAGTTATTTATTCAGATTTTTAAAATAAAATAATAATGTACATGATTTAATTTTTAAGCAAATACTGTTGGAAGATATACAGGGAAAAGCAATTCTTTATCTTATCCCAGACTTTCAGTCCTTTCTCCTAGATGCAAACACATTTTTTGTATTCACCAACTCCCAAAAAGACTATAGTTGACTAGCACATGTATGAAAATACATAGTTTATTTAATATGTGGGATGATACTATACATACATTTGTACCACTTTAAAATACCTTGATTTTTGGGACAGCAGTTGGCGTAATGGCTATGTCACTAAACTCCTATGTAGTCGACCGCAGTTTGAGTCCCAGACTCAGTAACTTAAACTCATGCTGGGTGCATGTGCGTGCGTGCCCAAGATCCCGAGAAGCGAATGAAGGGGAAGGGATTGCGGTGTGGCCATCCCCTCTGGGGGCTGATTTCTTGCTTTCTGTCTCTCTGTCTCTCTTTCTAGCAAGCGCACACACCCTATAGCAAAAACCTCTCCAAAAAAAATCTTAATTTATAGGGTATATTTAATTTTTTCTTAATATCAGAAGGTGCATGTGCATGCACCAGAAAGAGAGAAAGCATCCTCCCAGTGTGACCTGGTTACACTATAATCTTCTTTCCTCCAATTCTCTATTCTTCTAGGATCTTGGGCACACATGTGTACACCTGACATGAAGCCTACAGGCCAGGATTTGAACTTTGATTGGCTATGTTGAATCTGGCTTTCTCTGTGCAATGCCTAGCTGCTGTATCACAGGGTCAACCCATGCGTATTTAATTTTTTTTTTTTTAGGTTTTTTAGGTTTTTAGGATGTGTGCACTCACCAGAGAGACACACAGAGACATGGAGAAGAAAAGTGAGAAATCACCCTGTGGGGAATGTGCATGCCATAATCCCTTCCCCTCCATTCTCTTCCTGGGATTTTGTACATCATGCACCAGCACCCAGAATGCTTTTCAAGCCTCCAGGTCTGGGACTCAAACTGTGGTCAGCCATGTGGGAGTCCAGTGCCCCAACAACCACACTATCTGCTGGTCCCTTTATTTATTTTTTTTAACATGCACCATATGCTATAATTTTACATGCCATAAAGTGGACCAATTATAAGTGTATACTTAAATACATTTTACTAAAGTGATACAGATACGTAACAATCACCATAATCCTGAGAATATCTATCATCCCAAGTTTCCTCATGTACACTTGCCATCATCCTCACTCCTAACCCCACCCCAGAAAACCACTAATTTACTTACTGAATAGTTTTGTCTTTCTAGACTTTTTGATAAAAGGAATCATACGGCATATAATTTTTTGAGAGGTTTTTGCTATAGGGTGTGTGCACTCGCCAGACAGACAGAGAGAGACAGAGGACAGAAAGCAAGAAATCACCCCTCAGAGAGGATGGTCATGCCGCAGTCCCTTCTCCTCCATTCTTCTCTCAGAATCTTGGGCGGGCACGCACGCACACACGCTCACGTGCCCGGCGTGAGTTTTAAGCCACCAGGTCCAGGACGCGAACCATGGTCGACTCCGCGGGAGTCGAGCAACACAGCCATTACTCCAACTGCTGGTCCCAGTATGTAATTTTTTACTTAGCATAATACTGTTGACACTTACCTCTGCTGGTGTATGAATGAGTAGTTTGTTTCTTTTACTGCCAGATATTGTTCCATTGTATGAATATACTACCTTTTTCTGTTCATTCACCAGTGGATGAACATTTTAGTTGTTTTCAGTTCTTGACATTTACAAATAATGTTGCTATGAACATTGGGATCGAAGTGTTTGTGTGTCTCTATGGTTTCATTGTTCTTAGGTAGTTAGCGACATGATATTGCTGAGTTGTTTGAAGAGTATATATTTAAATTGTTAAGAAATGGTCAAAATGTCTTCCAGAATGGCTATGCCATTTTACGTTCCCATCAGC